AAAAATGTATCATAAAGAATTGCAGGAAAAAAATTTCTGGGCAATATTTCTAGGTTAGGATTCCAGGTCGAGTTCTTTGTTTGCCAAACAAGTGCCCTACTAATCGATGACAATTTATCCAGGACCCCCAAGATTCCTTTTCCCCAAGTTCAATATTTGAGGAAGACTATTTTATACATTTAACCAAATAAAACGTTCGCGAAATTGAAAGCGTGAACGGTAGCCATCTTGAATACCTATTAGGCTTGTTGAAACAAAAATTTGTTTGTGGTTAAATTACCTAATCTCTACAGCAATCGTTTGGCAAACGAAAGCTTCGAATTCCATTAGTCGGATTACACACTTTTTTATTTTCCTATAATCATATCATTTTATTTTTGAGGAATTCGTGATATATAATATTTTAAGACACATTTTGTGATATAATAAATGATAAAAGGTATGAAGAAACGAAACCAGAAAGAAAAGAAATTGTAAAAAATAAAACATTTTCAAAATTGTGCATATTTGGTGTTTGCTCAATGGCTTATTTGTATTGTACAGGATATCTCGTATGTACTAAGCACAATAGGGATGGATGCCGCACATATGACCTCGTTTTGACCTTGTCTTGCAAATACAATATAATTGGATATTGGTGTACTGTTTTTCTGCAAGATTTGAAAGTCGTGAGATCAAACGAATTTGTAAACAGTACCGGGTATTGTGCTAAGCATAGAGCAGTTCGTACACAGACTATGTTCGGTGCAGAAAGATATGCTTATTGTGAATTACTAAAATCGTAAAGAAGATCACATCGGGCATATGTTTATATGAACATTTTTTCTTATTTTGAAAGTTTGGTCATTAGTCATTGTCGAAATAACTAGCAACAGGGAATAAAATAATATCAATGAAAAGAAAACCTCCATGATGATATTCAGTAACATTTAATCAACATCACCAATGAACTTTATGTAATTCGATTCGATTGAATTGGCGTGTTCAATAGCGATTAATGGCCGACAATGTCTTAAATATATCCAATTGGAAAAACTGTTCGGTAAATAGAATGAAACGTAACGCTAAATCAGCTAGGAGAGGAGCTAACGGAACGCGAAGTAAAATCCCGCCGGGATAACTTATGTAATCCCGTCGAGGTTCGTTTTGCACAGCTTTGTGCTGGAAGCTAGTTTCTGTATCACGGACAAAGCTTTTTCGCTGATCTGGTTAATATCACCGGCGCCGTGTACACATAGGGAAAAAGAGAAAAAGAAAGAGAAAGAGAAGGAGAGTGAACAGATTGCCACGTGGAATGCTTGGTAAATATAGAGGCGGTCGTGATAAACGCAGTAAAAACTATGTAGGTTTCTGTACTGACTAATCGATATTTTACGATAGCCCCTCGTCGTCGGCCCGTAAGTACATATTCGCGTGCGCCGCTGGCGAATTTTATTTACCGTACAGAAGAGAGAAAAAGAGAGGGAAAAGGAGATCTTATCCTGATCTTTCCGCGAAGTAATCAACAAACCGCCCGTGCACGACGCGTCTTCGAGATTGCCGCTAATTTTTGACGTTTCACGCGTCGATTTCGCCAGTTTCAATTTTACCTTGGTATTATATTGAATCACTGGGTGTAAATATTTGATTTCCGCTTGGCGATAACTTTTATACTTTTTCTGCTCTTTCCTTCTTTTTCGCTTACTTTTTAATATTCAAGAATTTCTATATTTTTTGATCCCCTTTTCGGTATTTTTAAAAATAACTACCTTTCTCCATTTTTTTGGTCTTTTCTATCAATATTTTTCAATTTATATTTTTGTCTTCCGTAACTAAAATATGGTGTATAAAATATCGGTGGAAATGACATATTTGAAATAAATGGAATAAATAATTGTTAATTCTCCGGCGACCATTTCTTTGTAAAGAGTTATTTAAATTGCCAATTTTTGTGAGAAATAGTAATTTGGTTGCCCGGAAATGAATTTATATATTGTTAATTAAGATACGGCTATTACAATATGGTTTCCAGTTTCACTGAGTACAGAATCAACGAAATATTAACCTTTTCGTTGTCCCGAACAAATATAGTCGACTGCAATTTGAATGGTCGTGATGAATATATTCGCATGGTTTGACTAATTCAACTCTATTCCATGTCAGTACACAAGACAGCACAAATGCATTATCATATTTCATTATATAGCTTTGTACAGAACTAATGTTAAAAATAAAACACAGTTATTTTGTAGTATTTGTATGGAAAATATTGTATTTGTATCAAAATAACGTTTAATAAATGATTGTCACAAATGTTGTGCCATATTCTTCCTACAAATTTAAATAAACGCAATATTTTTAACTACTTAATAAATAAAAATTTATTAATTCCTACAAGTTATTATCTAACAAAGAAAAATGAGGATAAACGATTTATTTCAACAGAAATCAATTTTCCAAATGAAAAGAATTTTCATACAATTGAACATATTCTTCATCCATTTCATTTTTATTTACCGCGAACTAAAAAGTGTATTGATTGGTGGTCGCATAAAGGGAAAGCGTCCCGACGGAAGCTGTTGATGACAAAAGCCTTCGACCCCGAATGTACACCACTACAAACAGCGATACGAGGGGGGATCAATAATATCAGTTATAAATCTCGAACAATGTGCAGAATTCTAACCTTAATACACCGAAAATACGCGCGTAAACAATACGCTAAATAGGTGAATGGTCAAATGGAACGGAGGAACAGAGATTAGAATAACACTCGTGTCGGTGGAAGGAATTTCCGGGTAACCTGAAAGTCCTCAAACTATATCGGTCTACCATTTTCTCCAGTACATTTCCCCCAATGGAATTACCGTCTTTGTGACGCACAAATTGCCGGAAAGATCAAGCAGGAAGTGTCAAAGGAACATCGTCGGCCAGGAAGTTGCAAAGGAATGAGGAACGTGTGGATGCCTAAGTTTGAATCAATACAAGAAGTGGGCCAGGTGGGGGGTGCATAAGATCGCCCGAGGAGACAGAGGAACGGCCGGGAATATGGGACAGTTTCGGTGCGTACAGAGGAACGCGCGAAACGGAGCGACCAAAAGGCGCGGCCAATTTCGGATTCATCACAATTTAGATTCTCATCGAAACAGCTGCGATTTATCGAGAAATCGATCGAGAGAATAGAGTAACCTTTGATCGTATCATATGAATATTGAATGTGACAGTGATATCGCATCGCTTTACTGTCAAACTTAACAATATTGTAAGTAAAAGAAATCAATGGCGCAGTATCAAAATTTGTAACTAATCCAGACAAGAACGCTTGATCGTATATCAACGTCAGGGATAAATGTCACTACGTAGAGACGTCACGCGATTTCTAACGATACATGATCGGATTATAGATCGATCTTACCGATTATGTAGAGAAACGTCACCGTATTGCGGTGAAATTCGAACAACTTTTACTAAATGGTATACGCCTACCGTGAATCAATTGAGAATAATGTTTTGGACCGGTGCCGAGTGGAGGAAACAACGTGTGTCAGTAGAACACCGTTTGACGGGGGAAACAAATACTTCCCTTGCCAGATAGGACGTATACAGTTGTCGGGACAGTATCCGTTATATTACATTAGAGACGCATATGAAGTTAATCTTATTTGTCTGGGCTTATCGTTGCCGTTATAATATACCATAACGGTAAATAAATAAGGGGACTTTCTTGCAGGTGCAGCAAAATTGAAACTCTTAAAACCGTGAAACCGTATCGGTACTCTCAATGCATTAATCTTAAGAACAAATTTGAAACGTAATCATATGTTTCCCATATTATTCAATTATTCAATATTCATACTTCATCATTAATCTCAGATACGTTTATCATTCATTCAAATTATTTCTCATACATATCTCGTAATTTATTTCTACCGGCTACAAGCCGAACGGACAAACCTTATCCGGTGTCGACAGGTTAACATAAAAACACAAATATCCCCCGTCTTTACGAAACTACATATATTATATCCATTAATATTCGTCTGACAGTGCAAAAAATGTACAAATGTACGTGTACAGGCGATCAAATTATTCTGAAATGCCGTCACGAGACACGACGATGTACCTAACCTGGCCTGCCGGTGTACATACCTTGGACGCTTTCGATGCGCGTGTCTCCAGCAAGGGTGAGAGGAAAAAAAAGAGGCGACGGGTGTGGGGTCGCCGTCCCCGTGTCGACAAAAGCTCCTTTCGTATCGTTCTATCACATACGCGACGTCATTAGGACGGCCGTCGCTCTGAGAAAGTCGCCTGAGTGGCGATGTAACGATACTTCTCGTGGCACTTGAGAGTGGCTACTGCTGAACACGGGACAGAACTGTCAAGAGGACCGACCGCGTCGTTTCTATGGACCGTTACGGCAAATACGTATCATTCAAGAGAACTTTTTACACGGATACACGGCGACGATCGATCAGCTTCGGTGGAGAGTCACGGAACAGTTTCTGGCACGAGAACGTCGCGATAAACAAACTCAACGCAATCTCGACGTAATGTGCATCACGAGCCTCGCGGCCATCACTGATTTCAACTGGCACTTGCTGTCGGTGGCGCCATCGCCTCTTTGGACGGGAGAACGAGGAATCGGACCATTACGCGCGCGTTAGGCGCCTGTACTGTGAAAAATAGATTTTAAAAAATTATGGAGGATATTTTTCTTCTGAATTATCGATGAATTCTCGTTTTTATTACTTAAAAAATATTTATTCGTAACAACATTTACAAAGACTTCATTAGAGTATAATGTACCGATCTACGTATTAAATAGTAACTAGCAAGATTTAAAGACAAATACCTATCTTACTTAAATATACATTACCGACGAAAAGTACTCTCCTCATATGGCAGTGATTCGAAAGATATTTCCACTGTTATTGAGCATATGGTTCATCTTTTATAAGGTCTTAATTGCTCTTTTCATACATAGAAACTTTACTCTTAAAACTTGTGAAAGTAAGTATAGTTTACGGTCCTTTCTCATTGCCGCGAGTGTATTGTAAGTAGTTGGCGCTTGGATAATTGCATAGCTCACAAAATCCAGGTACTCCCTGGGGTCCAGGTGCCCCTCTTATTCCAGGTACTCCTATCAATAACCGAAACTAAAAATACCAGCAGCAGAAATCGTAAAAACATGTTTGCAACTTTTTTTTCTTTACCTGGTCTGCCTGGTTCCCCCCGTTCCCCTTGTCTTCCAGGCAATCCGACGCCATCATTGCCAGGTGGACCTATTAACATAACCCCATTTGAGAAAATTACAAATTTATAAAAAGTGACAATAAAAGAAAAGGATGTATATAAAATACCAGGCAGCCCTCTTGGACCTATTGGACCTTCCACACCAACGCCTTCCGGTCCTCTGTCGCCCTTTTCTCCACGTTCGCCAGATGGACCCTGTGGACCCGTGGAACCCTGTGGTCCCGGTAGCCCGACGAAGCCGCGTTCTCCAGGTAGTCCTGAAGGACCTGGATCACCTGTTAAATAAGTAACAATTTTCTATAATAATTCAACAAATTTTTTGTAAAAAAGTAAAAAGCTTGTAATGAAATTCTGCATTTAATATCGAAAGCATGCAGTACTAAGTATTTATTAATTGAATTTTACACCGATTGTAATTTTTTGTTTATATGAAAAGCGATCCTCGAATAATCTTCAAAACCAGATGTTGCAACAGTGTTGCAATTTTTACACATATTATTCGAGGCATGCTTGTAATTCTAATACAGCAAAGTCTAATGAAATGAATATAATGCACGATTATTAATTAAATCACTAGAAAAGGAACGCAGGAGGAGAACGTTTCAGGGTGTCTCGTTTAGTAGGTACCTGGGATGCCCTGGGTTCCGATTCGACCGGGACGGCCCTGTCGGGCCAGCCCCGGCAACCCAGGCGGCCCGCGTAGACCCTCTGTTAGTTCTTTCAGCCTCTCTGTGACACATGCAGGATTCCATCGTCTTTATCAGCGGTACAGCTACATGAGATGTTAATTCCCCCGATTGATCGATTGTTAATCGAGCGCGGACTCGCGCGTCCGTGTGCACACGTGTGAATCACGCCGCTGATGAATGCCGGACTCTAACTAAGGATGAAGGTGGAAATTCAAGCAACTCATGATAGAACGATGACGGCACGATAACCATTGTGATGTTTTGCTATGACTATCAGGAACGCTAAAGGACATTCTTATGCAATCACGACTCATCATCCTACTATGGATTTCGTAGGAAATTGTATCTAGAGGTTATTTAGAGTTTCGATGAAGGAGAAACACCGAAAACCCATAGCAGTACCATTTCTACCATTGTTCTCTAAGGTTATAGGATCGAATGCAGGCAAATGGGGTTGGCAACCCTTTTCTCAGGGGTGTACCTGGGCGACCTTGTGGACCAGGTGATCCAGGACGACCTGGACGGCCTCGACCAGGCGGACCAGGCGGACCTTGCATCAGGGCTGCCATCTCAGTCATCTGCTCTGTATATATACGTGGCAATAAAAGGAAGAATTATATTCCAACTCTTTTTTTACGTAAACACTGTGCCAAGAATGAGCCACGTTGTGTGTGGATGCTGTTGCTATAGCTAAACAGTTCCAACTTTTCCTCTATTTACGCACTTTCGTGGTTATTTCGATTTTTCTTAAACGCCTTACTAGCTGTGTAATTATATAGTTTCATGTTTTTCATTAATATGATACCAGTTAGCAGAGTAATAAATATCCACCTCGTAACACAGTGGCACATATATCTCGAATTTCTGTATCGGTGATACTACGGCCCGGCGGTCCTTGGACTCCTGGCATTCCCGTTTGTCCTGGTCCTATTTGACCCTCTGGACCTCGTTCTCCTGGAGATCCTCTCTCACCTGGCTAATTTTAAATAGTAATAGAGGTATCATGAGAAAAGAATCTTTGAGGAAAAGCTTTTTATACTTACCAATCCTGATAGACCTGGCAGACCTCTTGGTCCACTAACTCCTGGACTGCCAATGGTTTCTAATACATTGTTTGTGCTTAACATATCTGCAACTGTTCCAGGTGGTCCTGCTGGCCCAGGAGGACCCGGAGGACCTGAAGATCCAGGTCGTCCGTCTAATCCTGGAATACCTGCAACTCCGGGTAAACCTGGAGCACCCTGAACAAGTATATACCTGTTTTGAAATTTTCTAATTCGTAGCAGTTGCAATTTCTAAATTTCTAATTTTTCGTTAGAATAGTTCAATTTTATATACCATCACTATTTAGTTATAAGTGAAAATTAATCTTACGATGATTCCAGGTAAACCAACAGGTCCTTGTTCTCCTTGTTCACCTCTGTCACCTTTTTCACCAGATTTCCCATCGAATCCTGGTGGCCCTGGTGCCCCAACAAAACCTTCGAGTCCACGTGGGCCTGGAGTACCTGGTTCTCCAGGAACACCAGGTGATCCCTAATTACGAAGGTAAAGTAAAATTTGTATTTCATCATGCATTGAAAAAAATTAAAAATAATGTAAAAATAAATCTCAAACCAATTATTCTTACTTTATGCAACATTTACCTGTAACCCTTGAGGACCAGGAGGACCTATAAAACCTTGTAATCCTGGAGGACCTGGTAATCCAACAAGACCAGGTTCTCCTTTCATCCCTGGAAAACCATATTCTCCAGGTACACCAGGTAGACCTTGAGGTCCAGGTGGTCCTGGTACTATAGAACCAACTATCGAGCCTGGTAAACCTGAATAAGTAAGTCAAATATGTTAACGATTGATATTAAGACTTTTTTTTTATTTAATCTACGAACCATCACGACCAGGTTCTCCAGCTTCTCCCTTTTGACCTTGAATTCCAGGTGATCCAGGTGCGCCAGTTGCTCCATCAAGACCTGGTACCCCTCGAGGACCTATTGTTCCTGGAAACCCTATTGCTCCTTTGAGGCCAGGAATCCCCGGAAATCCTATTTTTCCTTCCGGTCCTGGAGATCCATCTTGTCCTGGATAACCTCTCTCTCCTGACTCACCTAAAATATTGAAATATTTTATTGGAAAATGGAGAACACGTACGTAGTGGAAAAGATAATTATATTTTTGATTACTTATTAAGTTAAATTTTACAGGGATTTATTTGATCAAATGTCCCTTTGATAAAAGTGAACGATGTTTGAATTGCATTAACAAGAGGCATAGTAACAAACATAGTTTCTATTTAGCGCGTGTATATTAATTGCTAGCTTATTATTAAACGTTCAAACTAGACCATTTAATAACCAGGCCCTGGAATGCGTGCAATTAGATACACGTTAACAGCAGCTATGCAGTCGTTTCTATCACGAGAACAGCATACATTTAGTGATTAATAAAAGGAATGGGTTTACGGGTATTGCAGCAGATTGCAACAAATTGATTTACAATCACTTCGAATAGCTTTATTTAGGTCAACGTCGATGTGCGTGACAATATATTGTTTTCATGTCATCCATCGGGGAGTAGTATAGCTTTCTGTAATTGTGTTTCGCGGTACGAATGACAAAATCACGAAGCCCGAGAAAACAAAAAAAAAAAAAAAAAGAAAGGAAAAATCGACAATTACGTACAGGTAACATGTTGCACATTGTAACTTTTTCAATAATAACTCGACCATTCAACGTACATACTTTCATTCGTTGAAATTATCACACACAGACTGATAAATGTGAAATTTATATTTTGCAAAAATTTCCATAGGTTTACAAAGGGGAGAAATAAAATAGAGGAAATAGAATAAGTGGAAATATGTTGGTTGGACAGTTGAAGCCATTAGTACGATTGCGCTCGACCTTTAAATACGCGGCTGTTGACACACTTTATTAGAAGGAATTATTTCTTGAAAAAGTGTCGACGACCTTTTGCAACATTGCAATTAACTAATTACCAGATTCGAAGGTTACGAGATCAAACAAAACGTTTCAATCTAAACTTCAAAATCTCATCGGAGAAGAAACTGTTCGATGGAAAACACTCAATTACATAACGAAGTATAGGTATTTCAGTCAAGAGTATAAATATCTATCGATAAATCTTCTTTTCCGAATTACCGAAAAAAAAAAGGAAGAACATTTTTTTCTTTAAAAGTCACACGAACGGTAGATTTAAATGCTCTTTCGTCGAAGAGATCAGAGATTAAGCGTTCTGTGCTCACCGACAGATGAATAATGTGATTAACCATGAATCACTGCGCGCACACGTGGACACCCACAATTCCGCGCGATTTTCTAACGAGATTAAATTAGTTTACGCAGCACTTCAAGGATTACTTATCGGATAAAGCACCGTAATCGTATTTAACTCCAACGTTTAACATGTGACATGCGACCCGGTGTTAAATCCCGGAAGATAGAGCTTTTCAAAAATAGACATCGACCGACTACCTTTTTCACCATGTTCCCCTTTGCTGCCGGTTTCCCCCGGATCGCCCTTCGAACCCTTCTCACCGGGATACCCCTGAGGACCCGGTGGACCTACGAAACGCGGCAAAACGTCACGGTAGTCGGTGACGTTTCCGGTTGGCCCTGGAGGACCTGGATAACCACGTGGCCCCGGGAGACCTTGGTCCCCTTTCAATCCTGGGAATCCCATGTCTCCCTACAGGAAGTAATACAAGCATAGACATGACAATTATTACTCGAGCAATTTTCTGTCGAGGGAATATACGAGAGAGAAAGGGGCAATCAAGACTGTATTGGGGAGGATAATAAAAAATTGATTTCTGAATTCTTGCATTTTTCAGATGTTCCGAGTACTGGAAATTACAACGGTAGACTACAATATATTTTTAATAGCTGTTCCTACTTCATTTTCAAGTTAGCGACGCGTTCAAATAGGGTACAATAAAACAATAAACCCACTCTTTCACCGCGTTCGCCTTTCTGACCAGATGGTCCAATTGGCCCGGTAGATCCTTTAGGACCCGACGTGCCGGGGAATCCCCGTGCTCCGGTAAATCCTTGCGGTCCCTACCAAAAATCGTAACAACGTGCGATAAAGCAACAAAGAGTCGTATAACGTGTACTGTTACTTTACAGTATCTATAAGAACGCACTGTTTTCCCTTGTTCTCCAGGTGAACCACGCAAGCCCTGTCTTCCAGGTAAACCGGGCTCTCCAGTTGGTCCGGGCGGTCCAGGTAGCCCAGCTAAGCCGGGTAATCCCTGAATAAACATTTTTATTGCCTCGAAAAATTCTACTTTGAAGATACGAATAGTTACAGCGTCTATTGTACAAAAGCGGTGGGAATGAGTATAAAAGTACGAGGAATATTTATCAATAAAAGGGAAGAAACTTTGACTCACATTAGTGCCATTAATTCCGGGAGGCCCCTGTGGACAGATAATTTCGCAGCCGAGTCGCCTTTGAGGTAATAAAGGGCTGCTAAGGCTCTTCTGCAATTACGTTAATTACAACCGTGGGGTCTTAATGGATTGCGAAGTTGTGTAAAATATATAGACTTACTGGCAACTCCTCGCAGGTTTCGCGCTCCGGCCTCGTAGGATCGCAATTTAAGACCATCCACTGTATATCGATCTAGAGACAAGTTTCCCGTAGGGAAGCGGGCATTACATCAAGTGTAAGAAGCGGAAGCGCGAACAGTCGGGTTACTTGAAACGCGTTTTAAACACTACACTGTAGAATCACGCCTTGAGAAAGGTATACCTGAAAACTTTCCTCGTTAAAAGGATACCTTTCCCGGTAAACGATCAGTGATTTTCTTTCCAGGCATTTTATTGAAACGTATCGAGTACCTGACTGGCGCGTTATGTTACACGACGAATTATTTGTTTCATTAGGTGTCAAGGAAAACTTGAAAATAACTTGAACCTAATAGTGATTCTTTTTATGCCCAGTTAAGTAGCTCGAAATGGTTGGCGACAAAATTCACAAACAATCACTACGGAGCGTTATAGTGAACAACTAATCGAACTGTACAGTTTTCATTCATTTCAAAATGTTTTCATAAGAAGCTTAATTTTCGAAAAGTTGTTACATAGAAATTGTGGTACCCAGTTTTGCCCTGCTTTCCCTTACTTGACACAAAATGGCTACCATACTCCTAAAAAGTCAAGCTTAAATTCACAGCTCGTGACAACCCACGAAAATTCATCTATAAAATTATTACTTCGAAATCTCTGTCACTTCGTTCGAATGAATTCCAAGTAAATGATCAAAAAAGAAAAAATTTTAAATTGAACAAAATGCGAAAAAAAAGAATCGGTATTAATAAAAGAAGTTCCTGGAAAAAGGTCGTTCTTTAACACCTAACAGCTTGTGTCTTTACTCCGTTTCTACGTGAAACTGGGCTAATAATACGACTGTCGCGGTTTTCGTGTGTGCGTTACGCGTGTACACTTCTGGAGCGTGGCACTAAATCTAGCTTGTCCCAGTTACTTCTTAGCCTCGTTCATTATAAAGTGTTTATTAATTAAGTGCTTCTTAATTGTCGCATGAAGCTACATTCGTCCCGCGTGAACATCCCCCGTGGACGCGTTACGCGGCGTCCTCTGGAATTTACGCCCGCGGACCTCGTCCACGTTGTAACTGCACGCCTTCCGATCTTCGGTGAGTTTGCCGATATCAAAAGTTCCGCCGTTCTGGGAACGTTCATTAAGAGACGTTTTGCGAAACACGGTCATATGGTTGCATAAGAAGACCGTATGTATGGTACAGTAGTTTTTGTGTATACATTCATCGATAGCCTGTTGAAAGCCACTTACCAGAAGTACGACAAAAACGTCCGAGTAAAGTAAATAAAAAATTATTGCTATAATTAACGCGACAAGAAATGTATGGATATGTTAATGCGACAGATGACAATTTTAGTTTGAAGTAAGAAGAATTTTTGTGATAGTAATTAACAGTGGAATGGGATTTTTATGGAATATTGTTCAATTAACGGTGGAACGATCGGTCGGGTCAAAAATGACCCATCGGCGATTTTCTAAAAGTGAATTTTCGTGTAACTAAAGCGTGATTGGAAAATTAGATACGTGTCGATACAAATAGAAGCATATATACAGAAAGTAAAGTCGATACCAGTATGGAACATTCACTTTTTTTGGGAAAATTGCTAATGGGTCATTTTTGACCCGGCCGATCGTTCTAATGTTAAATGTACTCTCAATAAGAGGTTCATCGTTTCTACTTTAGCCATGTTAACTTGGAATTTGCATAATGAATTACCCGACTTCTAGTTGAAATTATTCTATCACCTGATCAAGAATTCATTCTAGAAACGTAAGACTATAATGGATAATCGATCAAGTATCATTTTCTTAGTAAAAACTATTCTTATTTAAAATCTACGTTCGTGATTAGCCGTGAATTGGCAAGAAAAACAGAACACAACGTTGTGGGTAATGTATCGATGACAAAATGGCCGGTAAATGCCCGGTCGATCGAAATTGACTAATGAGTAAGGTGCTCCCCTGTTAACAACGCTGCTGATATTATCGCTGTCCCCGGTGTACAATGTACGCAATTTCAGAGATGAACGATCGAACTTACCGGTACAGTGAGCTTGCTGTGCGACATCTTCGATATCGAGATCTCGCCATCTACTCTGATCGGTCCTCGTGACTTCACTTCTTGCGCGCTAACATACTCGCAATCGATGTACACCACCAATCTGTCCTTGAAGACTCCGATATTAATTTTGTGCCAGTTCTTGTCGAACATCTATTTCATTCAAACGTTCCAATCAATTTTATACCTTAACTACATTCCATATAGCTTAAATTCCATTTTACAGTGCTGCAATAGATGAGTTTGTACAGTAAAATGGAATATGCAAGTGTGAGTACCTAAACCCAGACAGCACACGACATCTTAGAGACGTCCTTTTTACGTCCATTTCTGGTCGGAACTTACTTACAAATTTTTCTAGAGGAATTAATTGTAAATACTACAAGTCAATGAAAAACAAATTTTTTTTTTATCCAAACGTCTGACGACCCCATTTGGACGTTCTATCCGTGTGTAAAAATTACATCTTCAAAACGCTTTTAAGACGATTCTAAAGCCAGCGCATAAACGTTTCCAAAGGCGTCTTAATTTGCAACAGTGGACGTCGTTCAGGCGTCTTCTGGACATCTTCAGGCTTTCACCCGACGTCTTTAAGACGTTCGCAAGATGTCTGCGTGCTCTCTGTGAATATTACTCCAAATTATCGTAACTACCATAATTACTCAGCGTAATATAATACCCAAGTAAATCATAAATCGAACAAACTTCAACAGTGAAAGGAATTAAGAAAACAAAGAATCACATGTAACCGTGAACAGAAGAGATCCAACGAGAAGCGTATCTGCATAAGTATACGAATGATCGACTCTATCGGCGAACAGGACACGGGGCAATTTTCTAGCCGCGCATTCAGAATTCCCCCGGTTCATTAGGAACGTCGCGAGTTCTTTGAAGCGTTGCAAATGTCACGACGAATGGTATTCTCGTCGGTCTTTCCGATCTTGTACGCACCGTGAACGCCTTCTTTAGCGTTGCCTCGTAAAAAGGAAACGAAAAAAAGGGAGAAAAACCCACTAAACTATTTCGCACGAACGCTTACGCAACGACCCGTGACACGATTTCCACGTGACAGGGTGTAATTTATACGCCTACACGCGCGGCGATTGATATTTGACAGAAAGGATCGACTTTTCGCGCGGCATCTCGTTTCGAAATACATACCCAACGACCCTGGCTCGCCTCGCCCGTTTTAATCATCGCGCGATCCCCGATGACACTTTTAAGAGGCGACCACTTTAAACGAGGCCTGATCCGACAACGCTTTCGACGATTAGTCGAGATGCACTTGACTCACGGACATTTCGGTCTGTCCAGATGTGTGTTCCATATATTTTTCGCGTTTGATCGGTTTGAAAATGGCGTTATCGCAGAGCGGTGGTTAGACTGGTTCGAGCAATATGTTCGTTCGCGTTTCTTCACGGGAATGTTAATTGTTGTTACTTTTATGCGAAACATACTTAATCAACGATTATCTTCTGCGACTTTCACCAGTTTTTTTTACAATTTTCTCTCATCTTTTCGGTAATTTGTTTATGCGTTCACCGTGCAAATTTTGTTTTTTTTTTATTTTCCTGTGTTTTTAAATAAATTTTACATCGAGAGAGTTTTACAATAGTTGATGATAAATCCCTTCGCGTCTCTTTAGGAGAATGTTAATTATTATTACCTTTATGTGAGATGTACCTAATCAATGATTTTCTTCCTTCTTCTTCCTCCCCCTCCCCCCTTATTTGTATAAAAAAATGTAAAAGACAATTGAAATTAAGAAAAAATAACAAATATGTAAATCAAATTACACGAAGGAGATAATAAACGAGGAGAAAAGTTCAAAAGATAGAATTTTGTAATTGTTGTAACACTCACTATATAAAAAGAAAGCACAAAACAAAAAGAAGAATAATAGAAATTAAAAGATAAAACTAAGAAAAATGTAAATCGAATTACACGGATCGTGCAAAATAGTGCAACATCAAAGAGCTAACAGCGAAATCCGGCAAACTCGTTGGAAGTCAATTTTACGAGCATCTCGAAAATGCACAGAGTTACATTGATTCCTTATCTACGATCTTAGAAGTTAATCTGATAACATTAATCGCCATCAAGATCAGTTACGATGACGCAAAAACTGCATACTCTCTACTCACACGATCAGCTGAGAACGACACTGTCTGCAGTTCCCCTGTTTGGCCCTTCATAGACAAGTCCACGGTCTGACTTTTTGGGTTCATTGCGATTAAAAACTGGGGCTCGTTTTCCATGTCGACGATTCTGATAATGTGCCAAGTATACTTTGGCAGTTTTCTGGCTCGAAACGTGCAGACTGCGCTGAATTCCTCTGGCAACCCGTTTGCAAGTATATTTCTGACGAACAATATAGAAAGAAAGAAAAGGGAAAAAGGAGACTTTCGGTACTTGTCTACCAATGTAAACCGTCGGGAGTCGGTAGACACATTTTGGAAAATTTACAAACGAGATCGTACATGGTTGGCAAGGTGACGTCGGTTTCCTTCTCCAATCTGTAAGCGGTTTGCATACGATTGCTACCTCTGACTCGTGTCACGCCGGTGTAATGCGCCTCCAGGAGATCCAGCTTCAGCTTGCTGATGAAGTCGAACGTCTGGAGATCGTCCTCGCCGCGTTTGTAGCCTTCGCATAGCCCTCGCGCGGAATCTAGCATTATTTCCTCGCCAGAAGTATCTTCTGCACAAATTCGAAATACCAGCTGTTTGTAAAAATGTGAAAAATATATCTTCTTCTGTTTCAAATTTTTTATTTTTATATCGTGTAAAAATTTTTAACAACGACACAAAGGTGTGCTCTTTCTCGTTGCTATCGGTGTCTGTGGGCATTTTGAAAATTTTTTCTTGCTATACTATTGGACGCGCTTACACCTTAATTTGACACTTAATTTAATCCTTCACCATTTTACGTTTTAAAACGATAATTGATGCAAACAACAAATTTTGCAGTCGTGGTTAAAAATTGACCGTGTGTCACGCGTTACGTATTAACCCTTTCACTCCCGTATTTCTTCGAAAGGAATTTTTATTTTTACCGAAAAGAAGTGTGAACACTTGACTTAACGAACGATTGTGTAATGTAGCAGAGACCTTGATAAGTACTCCGGAATTTTTTCAGATTTTTTGAAGATTTAAAACGATAAAAAATATTAGGCTTCGACACAAGCAATCCAATTTACCTACTGAGTGTGAAAAAATATATTTACCTGCGGAGGGTTCAAATCGTTCGAAATGATTTAGGGTGACTTCAAAAAAAAAAATGGGAAAATAAAGAAAATTTGTATCGAAATAAAATTCGATAATTCCTCGAACAACGATAAATTGTTCTTACTTAATCGTAGCTGTGTCTAGCGTGAGAGAAAAGCAAAATGGGGAATTAAAGCACAAGAGGGTAGAAAAGTCGCATAGAATAGCGATAACCTGCGTAGCAGAGCTTACGTGCCAGCTACATGACAATGTGCGATGACATCGTTAAGAAGAAATGCCCTATTGTTACACAACCCAATAAGTTTCTGCTTGAGTCATTCCGATCAAACGGTACTGATGGTTCTATTCTCACGACAGTATAAATTGAACATGAGCATCATCGAAACGTAACAAACTCTCATGACAAATAAACTTCGAACTGCTGCGTGATTTTCCATAATAATTCTTTTATCCGATGGAAACAATCGATTGGCGCTTTTGTTGGAATACAAATTTTTGAGGGATGTTCACTATAGTAAGCGAGTGACAAGGAGAAATGTTCGATTATTATTTCAGAAATATTTGCGTTCAAATATAAATACAAATATAAATGATAAATTCCAAATATAATATATTGATAAATGATGAATTATAAATTCTTATAGTTAAATTTAAATGAAAAATTTTTACGGTTGAATTTAAATGAGAAATTTTCATAATTAAATTTAAATTACAAATTTTTATAATTAAATCTGAATTATAAATTTTCGTTATAAATTGTAAATTTATAAGTATAATTGATAGAAATGTACGAATTGCGAAACAAAAGGGGGTACATACTATGGATAACACTGACTGCTGTTCTGCACGCAGAATTGCATTGTTGTCGGAATGCAGTGTGAAAAGAGAATGCATTTCTGATTCGTATGTCATGGTAATGCACTGCATAAACATTGTATTAACTTATATCCGTTGTTTATAGTTCGTACGTATTGAATAGCTCTAGCACAATGTATTTTTAGCATTGCCAGTTATTTTCGCCAATGAAGAGTAGGTACAATGTACGTTGGGTTAAATTGATCCAATAGGCATGTTAAAAATAACAATATATTTTTAATAGATATTAATAACGAAGATAGTAAGTGTATGTATACGAAGTTGTTAAAATATATTTTATTTTCAGAATATAAAAAATATGAGAATACTGAAAGTAAGATATAATTCCGTTTTGTTTTTCTGTTCTGAAAAGTTTTGAAAAGTTTATATACCACATTATGGCAAGGAAACACACATGCCAGGTAGAAGAAAGGTATATTAAGCGTGTATGTACCTATTATACCTGAGTCGACCGTTATGCGTAAAACTTTTGCTCACATCTGCTTTCAAACTTACACTCTAACGACTGTTATATCCCCTTTTCTAAGGGTTGTGCCGTAAATTATACGATTACCTAGTCTAAAGGTGAGTCAATCGTTTAGTCGTGTATTTTCTATATGGGAATACCAAGATTGAAATACCTGAGGTTTGTTTTCCCCATTTTAATAAAAAAAAAAATATTACTTACTGAATGATTCTCATTTTTAGCAATTTTTATATATGAATTCTTCAATTTTACTCAGAAGAGCTAGAAGATTTCTAAATAATTTTGTCTGCCATCTATAATAGTCGTTTACTGTTCAATAATTATAAATAAATTTTTATTTTTGAAATTTGAAACTTCCTTAATGTTTGCCTCACAATATGTATGTATACTATGTATCAAAGTTCTACGAAGAGTAGGTATTCGTATTACAATTCCCATATATGTATGCAAGTGTCGGTTTTTTTGTCCAAAACAAACCCATCTGTAGTTCAACACGTTTTCGACCAATTGGTCTCGAATAGCCTCCCGAGGTGTGGACGTCCAATGTTTCCTTTCTATTGACACGTAACCACTCCCCCCCATAAATGCTGTTTCCTTAAAAATACCAGAATACCACAATTCTTACTAACCGTGTAAAATGACAGAAATATTGACCAAATGGATTGCAAACACCAGTAAAACTTATGCAGACTTTTAGTTTAAGATTGTCTTTTATATTATTAAAATGTAAAATGTATAGAAACTTACGCGTACGTGTGAATTGCACAAGCACGAATATCCATATTGAGACGTACATTCGCAGGTCCAGATTGGTCCTATAAAAGAAAAAAACAATGTTTCGTTTTTAATATTACGTGTTATACAGTATTTTAAAATTGTTCTATGAAGCTAAATTATTGAACCGTATCAACGTTGTAAAAAAAAAAAAAAAAAAACTCTTAAATGGGTACAGGAAATATTACAGACTATTATATCGTATAAACGATTACTCGTGCTCTGTGCACATTATGTCTGGACGTTAAACGTACCTCAAAATTACATGTTATGGGAGGCTAATACTCGTGCCAAATCGACTTAGTTCTTTCAAAGTTTTACGTGCTGTTAGAGAATAAGGGGATTCTGTACTCGTTTTTCTATTGAAATTGAACGATTCATCGAACTCATTCTACAGTTGCTACGTATACTTTTTCAGTCTTCTCTCTCTGTATTAATAATCCATGTTACTTTTTATTTCGTGAAAATACCTATTTGCTTCTTCAATCCTTACTTTTTCAATATTTCTTATTGAACTTAAATTATAACAATTTAACTTGTCAAGTAACATACACAAACTGCATAAATAAGATTTCTTTTTGTTTTTAGCAAACTTATGTACATTAAGTAAGAGGAGAAAAAATATGTTTGTTATCTCAATAACATCGCAATAATATTTTGTTATCTCAAATGGTATAAAGATAACACACTTCAATAATACAATAAAATAAATTAAAAGTTTACAACAAAACTTTTTAATTAAAGCAGAAATTTATCATTCTAATATTAATTACAAAACTGCTGATATATTTGTATTTGTGCTCACAGTTATTTGTGGTTTATTTATTCGTGTAATACACGTAAATATACTTGTTTTTATTATAGTTATATGCACCGATATTGTAATCCGTAGTCAGACGCGTTATCCGTTGCGCCACAGGACCATATTGATTGCTGTTCTTATCTTTAAAATTATAAATGCCAAATTAAACAATATTTACAATATAAATATATAATTTAATTTTTACAATATGTTTCTTATTTGCAAAGTTTTAAGAAACAATAGCATTCAAAGTAAATGATCGGTAAATTTGTCTATATAAGTTTGTCTCTTCGCTATGATCGAGTATTGCATAAATATGTAACGCAAATTAATATTTAAAAGAATATTATATTTACAGCAAATAAATAATTGTTTATAATTTCTTCGTAGCATAACGTACCATTAATTATATTGAACACTATATTAATAGTTACTTAATACTTGCTTTTGTTTGTAAAGAATCTAAAAAAACTTCCAGGCCTGATGGTCATACATACTCTGTGTATTTTACCAGTGTTTATGCTGAAGCGTGTTTAGTCTGGCATAGTACACTCCCAGTGGTTATCAATCACATAAGTGATACAATTGTCTACTCTTGGTACGAACGCCCAGTTTATGCGTTTTTCCTTGATTTAAGTGTTTTTACCATGTACTGTTTTCATACCTATACATCAAATATTTAAAGAAGAACCTAGCTTGAAATATAATTACTTCGAAACAATGGAAAAAATAAGGATTAATGCTAATATTTGATTAAACTTGAAGAGAGTATATACATACATACATATGTATAAATCTGTTTACGACTGCGTACTTTTGTAGTAAGTTATTCAATATTATAATAACCAAAGATAATTTGCTAGTGTGATATTCTACGATTCTAGAATTCACCTAAAATTTTCAGAATCTACGAATTCATTTAAAAATATATTTCTAAGCATGAATGAGAAAACTATATGAATAAACTGATACACTGTGAATATATGTATGTATGTAAACGAAAACATTATTTCTATTTGGCGTAAATGAAATTATAGTTGAACATCATATTTTGCGTCCTTAATGGACATGATCTTAGGAGTGTTTAATAATATAATATTAGGGCTGTATACTTTTGTCTATTATTCCATAAAAATAACACATTAAGATACATTTTGTTTCCATGCTGATGGAAGAACAATACTACGTCACAAATTCTTTTTCATTGTCGGCATAATAAATCATAGTATGTGACTGACTGCGCTATAGTGAGGGCACGCGAATAAAATGCCGACGCTGATTGGTTTGGTCATAAACAACCTTGCTTCCTATTGGTCGAACCCCGTGGGTCTTATCGGGTTACTTGACTACGACTGCGTAGCGTTGCCATATCGTGTAGTTGGGTCTGCTAAAGTTTCAGTTTTGTGAGTTACGTCGAATAGAATTGAAGGTGAAAAATTATAGTAGAGGTTTTTATATTTTTGTGAATTAGTCGGAACTAATTTTTGTTGTAATTATAGTCGAAAAATCGGTATTATAGTCAGAATAGTAAAACTAACAAACGTGTTCGGCAACACTGGAATTACGTCATCTGATGCAACTTCGGTTGCATTCGTTGCTTAAGTATCCTGTATACTTAACATTATTTTACCATCCTTTTTGATGAAGGATGTAGGGTGCGATGACAAGGAAAAACTTCGATTAATTTAAGGATTTGCACATTGTAATCAACGTTTTTTTGTGGTGAGTTTCTTCATTATTTAAGTTATTAAATTAATTATATGAAAATTTTATAAAATATCTTTATGAATATATTTAAATATTCATTATGTACGATAATTTAAGACAAAAATTGAGAGCAAATACAGTATGCAATATAATTGAGTATTTTTCATGTAATTTAACATTGAGTATAAAGAAATTTTTTTATATTTGCAAAAAGTCTGATATCGAAAAACATGATTTTAAGAATTTAAAAAGGGTGAGAAAAATTCTATAACAAATTTAATAAAACTTTATTCTTATTTTGCAAAACAAACGATTAACAGAAAAACAGTGTTGTGTTCGATTAACTCTGATATTTACAATTTTACAACGATTTATTTTACTTCTAAAATTAACTTGAAAAGAATATGTGCATATAAAAGAAATATTCCATAAATAGAAACAAACTTTTTAGTCACTTATTTTCTCTCTCTTGGAATGAGTCAACTATTTGCTTATCATGTCATCGGTTTCTATATGCATATTCAAAGATAATTTATGCGCATAATTTGATGTCATATAAATTTTTTTCTAATTAAGAATAAAGCAAAAATATATAAATTATCTTCAAAAAATATTAAATTCATTACTAACGAATTTTAACTTATGTGGTATTACTTCTTTTTTAATTATTCATTTTATACCCAATGAATTAGCAACTGTGTAGAGGTAGTTTAAAGTAGCGAACATATTTGGTTAAAAATAAGATGATATAAATGTCATCAACCTTTCTTTGTACCGTAGCAAAAATAAATGAAAGCTATTGTGTTCTTTTACAATTCATATTTTTCTCGTAATTGCACAGAGCATTCTTCAAAATATTAATTTTAGCTGTGGACTACATTAACAAACTTTATGTGGAAAATAATGCAATATCAATGTATTAAAAATATAAGATGACACAAAATAAACATTAGTCTCATGTTCGAAATCCAACGGTTACAGGGATCCACGACTTTAAGAAGATGGCGCCACACATGCAAAGGGTCTGCCACGGCACTGGAGATCCAGGCAGATACCCGCTGCGAACACTCAAACATAGTGAAAATTTTCTACGGCCACGTAATGTCGACGTATCGAAAATAAACGGGAAGGAAGGTTTCTTTCATTGCATAGGCCTTCAAATGAGAAGGTTTCAGTACAAGTACAAAACGTTTAATGGTAGCTCTGCCATTAGGACAATTAATATTCCTAATGGTGCGATGTTGCGCGACTGTAGTGTTGTTATCCTAGGAATGTCGTGCCGGTTATGCGGTGAGTGTTTCAAATGTGTAACTGACTTGAACATGCATATCGCGTTGACTCATCGGACACATCCAAAAATTAAAGACACAGCCGTGAAAGCAACTCAAATTGCAAAATCTTTTGATCGCACAATGTTGCTCTCTGGGAAAAATTTGGTGACAAAGTTACACAAAAAGTTACGTTTAACGTTGAAAATAGGGGAAGAAATTGTTGCTAAACTGTCGGTGAAACGGAAGCATTTGAAGGTGAACACGACCAGCAGATGTACACAAACAGAACAATACAGTGAAACTAAATTAAATACGGACAAAAATGTATGTGAAAGTGTAATTTCTGATATTGATCCTCCTGCGTTCTGTAATAGTCCTTACCAAAGTTGCAACTGCTCTATAGATGTGGTAAACAGCCCGAATCGATATGTGGTTAGCAACATTGTAGCAAATGAGCAGGCGGCGTGTGAAGAAACTATAGAGTACAAGGAAAATCACGTTTCACTCAGTCAGAATGAATCGTGCACAACGTTCGCAAATAAGAAGTGTGGCGCTGCTTACAAGGATCTCTTAGACATAGTACCTCTTGAGTCAAATTTCGTATTTACGACCGAAAAGTGTAGTTTTCAACACAGTAATTCGAAGAACACCTTGGTAGTCAACAATAATACGTGTTATAATTCCGAAATCACCGAAATATCGAAATCAGTGTTGAACTTCAACGAGCAACATAATAGCATAGAATCTGAAATAAAAATTGTGGATTCTTCGCTAGAACGGATGAAACAGTCTCGTACAAACGACAGAAGAGTAAATGGAAGAAGTAAAGACGTTAACATGAACGAAACGCAAACCGTCATCGACATAAATGCCAAGAATAAATGTGCGTCGGAAAAACAGTTACAGTCCGTGCCAAATATGCTGCAAGTAATAATACCAGTAATATTACCCGTAATCGTTCCAAATAAAAATAACTCGAATCCATCACCCATCAAACTAATGATACAACCTGCGGCATTGCAACAACCTGCGGCATTGCAACAACCTGCGGCATTGCAACAACAACAAGAAATTAACAAAACATACGCGGTTAACGTGAAAGATCATTCCGACGACGATGTGCAAGAAGTACTAAGAATAGTCAGAGGACGAAGTATTAGTACGGAGATCAATCACGAGTCGCCAAACCGTGTGGAACAGGAGATGCTACTGCAGGACGCCATTAAAGATATGAAGAGGATGGAAGATCAGGGCTGGCACTTGCTAGAAAGGGATAGCGTCGCGCCAGTGAAGAAAAAGAAACGTGTTGAAACGAATACGAAACCTGACACCAAACGTAGCGAAACGAACGTCGAGTGTGCTGCTAAGAAGAAGCAAAGAATCTCTGTTCAAACGAATTCCGAATGCAACGTTGTTAGGCATCCGGTTGGTGAAAAATATAACTCGAGTACAAAGGAGAATATTTCGAAAGTGCAAAGTGGTACTACGATGACAATGCGCGGGTCGGACAACGTGAAGGAAAACCTTACAACCTGCAATGGAAATATCGATGCTGCTTCGCTTGAAGCACTACACCGGTACGGCGTCAGTTATTACAATAAGACGTCCGAGGTAAACAACAATACGACGAAGGCCATAATAGATCTAGTCAACGACACCGATGAATAGCAACGGAAACAATACGTACCGGTGAATGATGAGCATAGTTTTATAAGAGCGTTCTCGGACCACGTGGAACGGTGTCAACGGCGAATACGTTTTCGGAACAACACGTTGAGAAACGAAGAGATGTTGAAGTACGTTTTTAACATGGACAACTTTTTTTCTATGATTCATATGAATATCTCCCTCTCTTTTTTTTTCCGTTTATATTATACATGTTGAGTAAACGCGCTTGTATGTGTGGTACAAGATACGACGTTTGTGTTAATAAGGTTAAACAGCACACGAATATTGCATAGTATTATTGTTGCCAAAACTGCTATAATTGTAAGACAAAGGGCACGTTGGTGTTGTATGTATGTACATTGGAACAAATGATATTCTTTAAGTTTACAGTATACAGCTATATTTACAAAGGAATCTTTGTAGATAGATGTATTGAAAAGATTTTTTTTTCTACTTATACGCTTAGCGTTACGGAAGTATCGTATACTTTCTTTAACCTCTCTATGTGGTAATTACTTAGATACGCAAATTACGTTTCCTATGAGTATTATTAATACTTATCACATATGAGTAATGGACACTAGTCCATTTTTTATACCTTTTTATATTTAGTTTATATAGAACACACGAAATATATATATTGTTACTTTTGTACCTTTTTGTAATAAATGTTCTTTGAAAGAAAGGAAAAACGTTGCTCGTACTTTCTTTTGGCATTTCTTGTTAATCGAGGCACAAATTGCTGAAACACATTTGAGAATGGAAAGTTCTTTGTTGCACAGTGTTTTGATGCACTATGATGAATGCACTTCAAAAAAATGTGTTCTACGTGATTTAACGGAAATAAGAAACAAAATATCGACATAAAGAAATATTTAGTTCAGTTGGGACAAACGAGTGGTAAAGAGTATCGCTAAATGCAAAGGTGACCCAAAAAAGATATTAGGTCCTAAAAAGGTCATAGTATAATTCAATGCCAATTCTATAAGATAATTTGATAATTTATTTAAATTCCTGTTTTCGTTACACTGAATTGTTATATTCAATCGAACGCTTAGGTAATACAACTAATACATTACTGCAGGAGGCGAAGTTTGACGAACGCTTACCGATTTAAAAGGAACCGTTGAAACGTAAGAAATGGTAAACATAGTCGGCGGCCAACGACTCGGCGAAGGGGAAAAAAAGGGGGAAGACGCGCGCGTCGGATCGGTATCTTGGCCCGGCTGTTTAGAAAAACAAGGCGGTTACTGACCTGCCAACGACAAATTACCGAAAATTAGGCGTTAGAAAGGCAGGTCGTTCACTCGACGGAATATTCGCGAAGGAAAGCCGCGTATATGTTCCGCGGGCGGACGACCGTGGGGACCATAGGAGCATTAGGTGATCATAAGGCGAGCACAAGGCGACGATAAGGCGAGAATAAGACGAGTGTGACAAGCAAGTCGACCACGGCGAAAGATTCCAAGGCGATATCGGCGATTGGTGAGACGTAGGGTATAACAAAGTATAATTTAGTTATAATTTAAAGTTGGATACCAACCTACCGCGACATGACTCATGGACGCTCGCGTTGTAATCTTCGGTAAACGCCAGCGCATCGCGAACACTCATTTCGCCAAATATTTTTAGTATAATTTAGTTATAATCTAAAGTTATAATCTAAAGACTCATGGACGCTTCGCGTTGTAATCTTCGGTAAACGCCAGCGCATCGCGAACACTCATTTCGCCAAATATTTTGTAATTTAGTTCTTAGTCACCTAGAACCTTTGCTACTTTCCTAGACCTTTTACCTTAACCCCTCCCTAGTCCCTTCCACGTCCTCTTCTAATTCCTATAAGTATAACAACCTCAAAAGCGGCGACAATCATTATTAACAGTACCATCGTGCTACTCACAACTGTCTAAACTGAGTAAATCTCGTAATAAGATTATAAAAGTGTTGTACACATTCCATCATCCGGAATCCAACACCAGTTTAGGGCAAGTAGTGCAAGAGTAGGCTAGTTTAAAAGTAAAGATTGCAAGTATACACTTTACCGTAACCACTCACGCTCCTGATCCCACGTTATCATTGATAAGGATTTTAAAATTGCGTTCTAAAAAAAATTTCAATTATTTAATATCGACATTTGAGAGGTACGAATTCTTCTGCGACTCGCGGTATGTACCAACGAAGAAGTTGTCGAGTACTGTCAATGAAAAAAGTATCATTTGCTACAGTACAATAGAGATAGTGATTTAAGGTTTCCAAGCTCGAAATGCCTCATCTATTACCTTCGACACGATAGAGGAGGAATGTAAATCAAATACCAACGTAACAACGTTGGAACACAATGATCGCCGAAGAATGTGTGAATTTTGTAAGATTGTCGGGTTGAGCAATTAATTCTCATAAAAATACAAAATGGTGGCACCCTAAGGACACCTTCGATATCTGTAAAATCGCAATCGACAAAATTGGAAATGTTATGTCATCAAATGTTATACTCCCAAAAGTACCTCAAAAGTTATTTTAAAAAATAGGATTTACTGTCTAATAAATAAATGAAAAAATTAAACGCATTCGATTAAGTTGATTCAAAAGTTCGTGTAACCTTTTAAAACTTATGTTGGCGATCTTCAAGATGAAGAAATAAATAGTAAGCCGAAAAGTGTTGAAAAAGAACCTAAACACGTCTTGTCTTCTAAGAGAAACAAGAGGAAGCTAGTAATTTTTCCAAGTACGAAGAATAACTGCTTTATCGAATTCAATGGTCTTCAATTCGAGAATTAGGACACTTATTGAATGTGAACTAAATCTAAACAGTCGTTATAAAATTGTTAAGCCCCAAAAAAGATTATTCAGTTTGGAATATGAATTCGGTCACCTTCGTACTACGTTTAGATAATTCATACTCTATTCGCAACTCCATTCGTAAGTTCTAAAACAGCAGTAATTAAATTCTCCTTTTTTTTCATTTCACTTCTTTTCCTAACTTTCGTAAGTTGACCCTTTCTGGATAAGCGTGTCGTATCTTCCTTGTAACTATGGTATACCAAAAGTGTGCAACTCTAGCAGCACTTGGAAATGTTAGAACTAGATAAGTTCACAATCAACACCATGTTCAATGCTCGTTAACGAACTCAGTTCTTCTACTAATAAATTTAAGACGTCTAACTGTAGTATTAAGCTGACGATACGACACTAACTCTGGCCAAGAAATGTAATTTAAATCCCATCGAATTTTATAATTTAGTTAAAAAATTCAAATTTGTTAAAAAAAAAAAAAAACGTAAGCGCCTCCTTGCTCCACAACTTTGACCTATTCCTTTTTCAACAAGACCATTATGTCATTGCTACAGCATTTCCTTAGATTTTCGTTAAAATATTTTTCACATTTGGGACGAACTTGCGGGAGGACCTGATACATTTTTCACGATCGTAATAGGCGGTCTAGTACTTGCAGCGGTGTGCATTTGCAAAAACTACATAAACCTTCGAAGGTGTACGTCGAAAGTGCACGAACATTTGGATCAACTCGATCTGACGCGTTCAGTTTAAAGAGACAGCGAGATCTAAAAGTCTGCTAGAAAAGAGGCAGAATATAAAAAATAGAGGCAGACCTCTGAAACTGTGTCACCACGATGGTCGAGTTCTACGAGATCGTTCAACCTCTCTCGGGTGCAAGTGGTCCGTTTAAAATTTTTGGCATGCGCGACAGAGTCCACGTGTTACCGGCTTGCCTTTGAAGAAGCTTTATCCGGTCACGTGAGCCGCGACGTACCCCAAGTCTTCACCTGGATGTGTAAGAACGAACCGCCTTCCTCTAACTGTTGCTCGATCAGCGGAAGTCAACGGGCCGACACATGTATTCCTAAGAGGGTGGTATGTGTGTCACGCGTAATATCGAAGGCACAATTAAACTGCAAGACGAGGCAACGCATTGCACGGCTGCCCGACACGAACTGATAAGCCCTGGAGAACCGCGTGGCTGCCTCTCTCCACCTCCCTTCGCAGGAGATTCGATCTTGCTTTCCATCTTCCGTCATCGGGGAGAAGAGACAATTACGGCTGATCGTGAATTAGCATGTCGTGCGCGTAGAGAAAGGAGGCTGCTGTGTATTTGCGCGTTTTGTTTGACGCTGTCTTAGACCGCTCGACTTTTTTTACCCTTTCCGGGGCTGAAGTTGTTTGTTGGTACTAAAGTGTAGTATACAGTGTTGGATCCTGTGTAACGCGATGAACAAATTGCTACTACCATCGGATAAGAGTTTTGAGAATTTCACGGCCCGGATTGATATGAGTGGAATTATTTGAGGCTTCCGGGTGTAAGCCGTGTCCAAAAGAATTTACATTCCGACGTTTCGCCAGCATTGCAGCTAGCTTCACCAGAGTCTGGAGACGTACCGATAATGACTCGGATAACGCGTTAAAAAAAGGAAAAAGGAATATAAAAATTCTGAAGCTGAAGAGAATTCAACACTTCTCACCAGCATCCAAAAAGCGATATCGGTGGAATTTAGTTTGTATCTCCCGCTTTACGATAGTGACTCGGATAACGCGTTAAAAAAAGCAACACTTCTCACCAGCATCCAAAAAGCGATATCGGTGGAATTTAGTTTGTATCTCCCGCTTTATAGATGGATCTACTGTAATTTGTGAAATTTTCGAGAATACGTTTAACCCTTGCGCGCCGAAATCGTCATGTTTAAAAATTCGACACTTATCTACCGATCATCGCTTCTATAGTGGATACTAAATTGAGATCAATTTTTATTAAAACACCGAAGTCGGACATTTGCGTACCCTGAAAATGATTGAAATGAAAAATTGGCGAGAGATGAGGATTGAAACGAGATCTTGAGGAAAGAAAAAATAGACATGATTTTCGACAAAGAAATTTTGTGAAAGGAGTATTGTTCGATCTCTAGAAATAATGAGAACTTCTTCTCTGTGCGTGTGAAGAATAATTACCGTTATAATGAGTTTTCGATATCGCAAGACATCCTCTATTAAACGTAATTTTAAAAAGAACCACGTGCAATTTAGTTTGGAAAGAAATAAAAAGAAGTAGAAGGTAAGGTACACATTTGCATTAAACGGTAAAGGGAAAGATAATGACTGTAATCCATAAATCAAGTACATAGCAGGCAATGCAGCAAGTTCCCCTATACATGTATACCTGTGATCAATTTTTCATACATCCCCTCTAATTAGAAAAGAAGAATGGATAGCTAAAAGCGCGGTACCATTTTTTAAAGCGTTGCCGGAGTCCATTACTCACAGTGCTCCAATTATGCTCGTAGAGATATATCACGAAGTAATATCGAATAGTCGAGAATCTTTACCTAGAATACGAAGATTCGCGGTTTTATAATACCACGCTAGGGTGTAACTAGTTATATTGATTATTATTATCACATATTCTCCTTTGTACGCAACATTATCGCTGTAGAGAAAGTAATTCTGCGCGAAACCGCACAAACTTGGAACACTTTCTTTGTTGTGCAACTGGACCGTTGTCCATTCGAGCTATCATGCTCTGGCGTTCGTTCCTTGTCGTTGTGAAAAGCCGAATAATTAAACTCGCCTTCCTAGTATTCAGGAAGTTTCGATATCTCGACGCGGTATCTAGTTTCAGCGCCGTGCACAATCTTACAATGGAAGCTGTCTTTGTAAACATACGTAAAAATGTTCATATGTTACATACAGATACTACTGAAAAGTGTAGCATAGATTGTGAAATTTTCAAAAGTGCGTTTAAAACGAGAAACGGAATTTTTTACAAAAAAATTTGTGGAAGGAATAATGTTCAGTGTCGAGAGATGCCGAGAACTTCCTCTTCTTTGTGCATCTGAAGAATGGCAGCATTGTTTTTGAATCCTTTTAATTAAAAAAAAAAAAAAATAAAAGTGTAGCATAGATTGTGAAATTTTCAAAAATGCGTTTAAAACGAGAAACGGAATTTTTGACAAAAAAATTTGTAGAAGGAATAATGTTCAGTGTCGAGAGATGCCGAGAACTTCCTCTTCTTTGTGCATCTGAAGAATGGCAACATTATATTTGAAACTTTTTATAATTTTTCAAACGAATAACAGTGTGACATAGTTTGTGAAATTTTCAGGAATACGTTTAACCCTTTCGTGCCGAAAATTATTCTCCTTAGAAATTCGTTCTTTGTCTACCGATCATCGCTTCTATAGTGGATACTAAATTGAGATTAATTTCTATTCGAGTACTTAAGTGGGATATATGTGTCCCCGTGGTCGTGAAAGGGTTAAAACGAGAAATGCAGTTTTCGACAAAGAAACTTGTGGAAGGAGTATCATCCAATCTCCAGAGATACCGAGGACTTCTTCTTTGTCCGTCTGAAGGATGATAAGTGAACAACGAATTAAACAGCCGATGCGCATTATGCGTAGAACAATTTCTCTTTTTTTAAATAGATTGTTAATACAACATTGTGCACGTCACACGTATTCGATATAAACGTCCCGACACAAAGTAATACATGGACAATATTTACCACGTACAGATTACATAAAACATATCATGTGACACGTATCTATATTCGTACGACCGCGAGAAAGAGATCAAAATGAACGAGCATATTGTACACACACACACGCTATAGATCATTAACAAAGCACACAGCAGAGTAGCGGTGATATCGATAAATTAAAGGGGCAAGATTTTTTTCGACTTTAATCGTTAAACTCTTGCGAAACACGATTTAATAGAACAAATCTACGTTAAATTCAGTTGAACACTGTGAAATCCTACAATATCACGCGTGTGTCAATTTCGTTTGATTAAGTACGGTCAGATTTGAACAGGTGGTTGTTACGGGGCTAATTTACAGCGTCGAACGGCGGAAAATGACAGATCAAGGAGTGAAAGGATACGTTGCTAGTCACCGATGAAACAGCATGATACTGCCAGGTTTAGCGTGACATAGTTTTAGTGGATCGAGAGGAAAAAAATCAATCGTCTCCGTCCTTCTTCGTCTGCGCTTTCTTCGTTCTTCTTAATTCTTTAAAGTGAAAAAAAACGCCGTGCATAAATCCTCTTCGCTCCTATCCAGTGTCAGCTCGAGGGAGGTGTACAGACTTTCGAGATCGTAACTCGGCCACGTTTCTGTCGTCTCGACGATCTTCCGTAGCAGCTCTTCCGTTTGCGAATCGGTCATTTTTTCACTGCTCGACACGGATAAATTACTCGGGGAGAAGTTTTTCGTACGTTTAGACGGTGGTCCTCCCGCACCTGACGCGCTGTTCTTCCTTTTAACGTTTATCTCTAAGTGAGAAATAAGAAAAAGACTGTTTTCCTTTTTTTTCTTTTTTCTTAATTTTCGACGTTAGAGGAATACGTTGAACGTTAATTCGTGTTACTTGACTTCGATGTGGTCATCACGTGGGCTGATCGTACGGCACAAATTTTGCTGCGAGCTCTGAGTCTGCTCCTTCGATAAGATAACGCCTCCTCTATCGGTGGGATAATTTTATCAATGTTTTGTAACACTATTCTGAACCGGGTTTGTTCCGTGAAAAAAGATAGCTGCACTTTAGAGATTTTAATGTGTCGAATAACGGATGCAATGGAAGTAACGGATTTCGTAATGAAAATAATGGGATCCGTTTATGTATGATTTGAAAATTGAATTTGGTGAAAAGTGTCGTTTAACGGAGGAAATCGATTTGAAATTCAGTTCAACACCGCGAAACCTAGAAATGGCGGCTAAAATTTCTTACGAACGCAAACAAAATTATCTGTTGCAGAATAGTGTAATTATCTCTTTGCTCGTTCGCTTACGCGCCGAAGAATTCTCCGTGGAATTAGTTCGTACTGTCGATTTCCGTTTTCTTCCTACTTCTTTGGCTTTTCGTGGATTCAAGATTTGCTCGAAATCCACTGATTCGACGAGAAATTAACAAAGATACATTATTCAGAAATGTAAGCAGATATTAGAGAATATTAACGAGATTTCTTTTGATGTATTTCTCGAATTTGAAAAAAATTATAATAAAATGCGAGTAAATATAAGAGAACCGTTGAATCTGATGATATCGTGCCCACAAATTGTTAGTTTATTGAAAAGTGGATATTGGAATATTGGAACATAAAAAAAACATCACAATAAGATGCGATTTTTAATATCAATGCGGATAAATATAGAACCGTTGAATGTGATGACATTGTACCTTGCGATGATCCATTCGATTCAATATCGCATGCTGAGTGAACGAATAATTGCTTGAAAAACGATTCACGCTGCTGCTGTCCAGGGGGTATGACTTCGAACACTTCTCCTTGGTACTCGGGGAACAGAGATGCGATCTGACGGTTAAATAAAATTAAAACGAGAAGGAACTGCCCTTTCATCGTTACTTTCAAAAAT